TTCAAAATTATATTTTCGTTGTAGATTGGCCGCTTTATTTTTTTTTTTAAATGTTTTCCTCTATTTAATTAAAGAGGTAAAAATGGAGATTGCAAAAGAAACACTTGAGAACCCTACGAAAAAAATAGTGTGAAGAGGAATTTATTAATCGAATTGAGTATTTGATAGCAAGCATGTTTCGTAGGCTATTTCATAGAGAGTTAGGTTCTTTTTTTGTAAGACTTAAGAATGCTTACAAAATAACTTCATTGATATTAAGAAAAGAAAAACGAAATTCTTGTCAGAGTACAAAGAAGTGAAGCCATCATGAATTTATTAAATTTAATTTTAGCATCTGATAGTTGAAGAAGCTGGATAACCATTGGCTACACTATTCTTCTATAGGGTTGTGACGCTTCAGGACGTGGGCGATCATGGCTCTCCATAATTTTTGTCCTTTATCCCTGTTTTTGTATATTTGTTATCTCTCCTAATCTCTGATGACAGTTTTACAACGTGTTTTCTGCTATCTCATAGTTTCTGTTGACCTTTTAAACCAGTTTCCTATCATCTCTCCTAATCTCCCTTGACCGTTTTCATACCAGTTTTCTGCCATCTCTCCTAATCTCCCTTGACCGTTTTCATACCAGTTTTCTGCCATCTCCTAAATCTCCCTTGAATTTTCTCCAGTTTTCTGCCATCTCTCCTACCCCTTTTTCATACCAGTTTTCTGCCATCTCTCCTAATCTCCCTTGACCGTTTTCATACCAGTTTTTTTGCCATCTCTCCTAATCTCCCTTGACCGTTTTCATACCAGTTTTCTGCCATCAGTTTTCTGACCGTTTTTGAACTTTTCTAATCTCCCTTTTCCGACCGTTTCATACCAGTTTTCTGCCATCTCTCCTAATCTCCCTTGACCGTTTTTTATACCAGTTTTTCTGCCATCTCTCCTAATCTCCCTTGACCGTTTTTTAATACCAGTTTTCTGCCATCTCTCCTAATCTCCCTTGACCGTTTTTCATACCAGTTTTCTGCCATCTCTCCTAATCTCCCTTGACCGTTTTCCTTACCAGTTTTCTGCCATAATCTCAGTTTTCTGCCATCTCTCCTAATCTCCCTTGACCGTTTTCATACCAGTTTTCTGCCATCTCTCCTAATCTCCTTGACCGTTTTCATACCAGTTTTCTGCCATCTCTCCTAATCTCCCTTGACCGTTTTCATACCAGTTTTCTGCCATCTCTCCTAATCTCCCTTGACCGTTTTCATACCAGTTTTCTGCCATCTCTCCTAATCTCCCTTGACCGTTTTCATACCAGTTTTCTGCCATCTCTCCTAATCTCCCAGTTGACCGTTTTCTATACCAGTTTTCTGCCATCTCTCTAATCTCCCTTGACCGTTTTCATACCAGTTTTCTGCCATCTCTCCCTAATCTCCCTTGACCGTTTTCATACCAGTTTTCTGCCATCTCTCCTAATCTCCCTTGACCGTTTTCATACCAGTTTTCTGCCATCTCCCTAATCTCCCTTGACCGTTTTCATACCAGTTTTCTGCCATCTCTCTAATCTCCCTTGACCGTTTTCATACCAGTTTTCTGCCATCTCTCTAATCTCCCTTGACCGTTTTCATACCAGTTTTTGACCGTTTTCATCTTTTCTGCCATCTCTCCTAATCTCCCTTGACCGTTTTCATACCAGTTTTCTGCCATCTCTCCTAATCTCCTTGACCGTTTTCATACCAGTTTTCTGCCATCTCCTAGTTTTTTCATACCAGTTTTCCCATCTCTCCTAATCTCCCTTGACCGTTTTCATACCAGTTTTCTGCCATCTCTCCTAATCTCCCTTGACCGTTTTCATACCAGTTTTCTGCCATCTCTCCTAATCTCCCTTGACCGTTTTCATACCAGTTTTCTGCACTGCGTTTCTCTGCGTTTTGTCTTCAATATGTGTTGCATGTCTTTTTTCCTCATGCGCCGTAGAAATTTCAACTGTTCCATTCTGATGCAAAAATGTATGTATCTTTTTTGTTTTCCATTTCTCTTCCATCAAGCCTTCTCTTCTCTGTGATAGGGATGATATTACGTAACAGTTCAGTGCACATTTGGAGTTTGGTATCGCTTTTTCTGTCGTGTGTTAAAAAAAATTCCTAGATATTTAAATATTACTGTACCTGTAGCCCAGTCAGTGCCTAACTCAGCAGATAATCATTGCAAATATTTAAATAACAGTGAGTTCAATTTCCATTAGATATTGCTCACCCATGATATTGTGTCGTACTCAGCTTAGAAAATATTGATATCATTGTAGATGGTTACTGACGTTACGGTACCCCGGAAGGAAGTGAATCAGTCAATTATGTGCCATGCGTGATACACGCTTAGGCGATCAAGTATCTTTCGATACATAACTGACGAGGCAGATTTTTTTTCTCCACTGTAAGTTGCCATTTCTTTCTGCGGTAGACTAGTTGCCATGCAAGGCTATAGAACCTGGTCTGTTCTGCTATTTACCCATAGCTGGAGGGAGAAGAAGAGGATTCATACATTTCCCAAGGGTATTATCACGTAAGTGAATGTCATGGATTTGACTGGAATTCGAACTCGGCTCTCCGATTCCCCATTTCAATTCGCTATGCATTACTCCACCGTGCCTCAGGCAGTAAATAGTATGCAATAATTATGAGGTAACCATTTCACAAAAATAGCGTCTGAAAATAATTTTGTTATCAGGTAGATATTTATTGAACTCGACTTAGTCTTACACGGTGTTTACAGTAGTGGTATAGTTCACGAAGATGTAACATTGTATTAGCTCGAAAGCACTCAGTGAGAGCATACTTCAGCTAATACCACTAAAACCGAAATATTAGGTTACACATTCCAGATAATATTACGGCAAAAAGCTTATATTCCTTATTCATCAGATACATTTTGATAGTCTGTTTAAATATAAGTGTTTTCTCAATTGTCAATTTAAGGCACAATACAGCAAAAATCTGGCAAAATGGCACTTCAGAAGGACAAATGATTAGGAAAAAGACAGTAATAGCAAAAGAAAAAATCCAGAATAAAAATACTACAAAATTTAACCCATGCTATCGCTGGGGTATGTTTCATTTAAGAAAAGACTATCCATTTAAAAACAAAAATGTTTTAAGCGTCGAAAAACAATTCATAAACGAAGCTACTGCAAGTCGAAAAGCAAAAGAAATACACGAATTAACTTGCTGAAAGTAGTACTACCATCTAGAAAACTGGAAAGTTCAAATAATAGAAAATTCCTGACAGTAAAAATGAATATCGCTACGGTGAGATTTCATTTGGACACTGATAGCGATATTATATTTATTAATGAACAAACTTGGAACAGAATTTGCAAGCCTAACTTGAGAAAAACTGAGGAAAATGCGAGAGGAATAGCAGACATGAAATTAATTTTTCTTAGGAAAATCACGTGTGCCATCGCTCTTGCGGATAAAACTAAGAAAAGCAGATGTTTATGTATTAAAAAAATTCCAACTTGAATTTACTATGAAACGATGGGAAAGCGAGAGAGCGAGATCGGCGTATGAAACGGCGGGAAAGTGAGTGAGTGAAAGAGAGAGAGAGAGACGTATGAAACGGCGGGGAAAAATGGAAAAGGGACGTATGAAACAATGAGGAAATGTCAGGCGAATAAAGAAATAATGAAATAGAGGCATTGACGAAACGTTAAGTAAAGTAAGTTTTGAAAGAAGGAAAAGAAAGTATAAAAGAAAGAAGTATTAACAGCCGTGATGACCTAAATTGACATCCTGATTGTAGACAAAAATCGTTACGCGGAATTGGCAACTGAGAATACATTTCAAAAAGATTTTAAGCGTAAATTCGAAAATTTGTCTGAGTCCTTCCTCGGTTAAGATTTTGACACATGTGTATACAACTTAAAAAAAAAACTTTTATAATTTATATTAAAAATAGTGGTTGTTTGGCCACAGAGTATCGTTCGGTTAGCAAATCGGTAAAGGCAGGTCAAGCTAAATAACGGTTCTGTATAGGATAAAGGTTCGAATCCTGTCGGAGGACGAATATTTTCTATGAAAATTTCTCGGGCATTCAGGCTGGTAAATGTTATTTAATACTATTTATTATAAACAGAGCATTTACTTAAATATTTGTATCTATAAAAAGAATGTATAACAAAAATGTCTTAAAATAATTGTCCATTTCATAATGTATGACACACAGGGTTATTAAAAAAGAATGAACCTATTTCATGACGCATTGCTTCAGTTCTCAAATATCGTCATGGAATGAGTCGGTGACCATTTGAAAGAGGAGTTTTCTGAGTTTGGAATGGCTGCCATAGGGGCTTTGTTGTTGCGTCGTATCTCTGGCAACGTTCAGTTGTTTGTTTACCTCCGGAATGGCGAGTCCTCAGCCAAAAGCGTTCTGCGTACTCGAGTTCGCGAAAACAGGTAAGGTTGTCACGGTGCAGCGTACTTTTCGAAGGCAAGTCGACATTAATCCGCCCTCTCCTCGGATCATTCCACGGTAGTTTAAATAGTTTCAAGAGAGTGGGTGTCTGTGTAAAGGAAAAAGCCCAGGACCACCACGAATTTCGGAGGAACAAGTGGCGTGAGTCAGTGTTGAGTTTGAGGTGAGTCCACAGAAGTTCACAAATCGAGATAGCCGTGAGCTTGCGATCTCTCAATCCACTATCTGGCGTCTACGTTTGAAACCTTACAGACTACACGTCTTTCAGGCACTTACCAAGACCTTCCTCTCTGTTCTTGGCCCGCGAGATCCCCAAACCTCACCGTGTGTTACTTTTTTCTTGTAGGGGTACGTAAAAGATCGTGTTTATGTTCCACCGCTACCCACTAACCTCAAAACAGCGATCAACTCAGTGCATCGTGATATGCTGATACACATCTAGAAGGAATTCTCTTATCGCATTGATGTTGCCCGTGCTGCAGGTGGTGGCCACATTGAACACTTTTAAGACAGGAAATAAAAGGTGATCGTGAGTTGAATACTTGCGACT